GAGTAGCAAACAAAGTGATACCATGGCATATAAAGAACGGACGTAGAGGAAAGACATTGTCGTTGGGAGAGAAAGTTCATATCTATGACAACAATGACTCATTGATCGATGGATGGCAACAAATTCAGATTAAAATAAGTGCTATTAAATGGAAGTATTTACCAGAAATGCCATATAACAGACGTCCGGTGTTTCTCAATAAGATTAACGAACATGGAGTAGCGTTTGTGAATGTAGCGCCTAAACGACTTTAACCAATTATAAGACAAGACAGATTTTCAAGGACATGAAACTGAATATTTTTTTTATTATACTACTTTTATACTTTATTTTAAACTTGTTTTACAAAACCGGTTATATTTCCTATATATTTTAATCACTCAATAAACTTGTTTCAAGCATTAAAAAATTGTGTTTTATTAACTATATAAGCAATGGTTATATGAAGTAATCATTCATTCTGTTATTACTTCAGTTTGTGTAAGCTTTGATTTGGTGAGACTTTTAAAAAAATTATATAATAAAGTTAAATTTTATAATGACAAGTGAAGTTAGACGTAGTGTATCATATGAAGCATTGGATATTAACAATGCAGATCCCATAGCACCTGTGTACCGTTCCATGAATGATGACCAATTAACCGATAGAAGTGTCATGGATAGAAGCTCACTTGGCGTTAGAGATAACGATAACCATGAAAGACCAACTGAACGAGACAATACATTTATTAGTCATCGTTTTGTTAAATCGTACAAGCATCCACAAATCGATGCTTATAATGGAAGTAAAATTGGTGATTTCGATGATTGGATAATCAATTTTGAGCTATTAGTGTTCGGCAATCACATCATTCCTGACGCCGAGAAACAAAACTATTGATCAACAATTTGGGATCAGAACCAAAAACCTATGTTAGATATGAAGTAACCAATGGTACTTATGTTGCGATTAAGAAGAAACTTATGGGTCTGTATGGTGGATCTGAAGACTCTATGACAGAAATGATTAATCTTAAATTTGATTCAAGATCTAATAGACTTATTAGAAGGGAAGCCAATTTTCTCTTCGTTTGATCTACGTTCCGGTACTGGCAGATCGAATTAGAGGAAAAAGATAAAGAGAAAACAGCTTTTACCGCTAACCATCAAAGATATCAGTTTAATGTAATGCCATTTGGACTTGTGAACGCACCAGCGACATTTCAACGATTTATGCAAAAGGTTTTTGACGGCATTCTACATAAATTTGTTTGCGTCTATTTAGACGACGTCGTAGTATTTTCTAATACATTTAAAGAGCATCTTCAGCATCTAGAAGTCGTACTGAACAGAATAAGAAAATACAACCTTAAGATACATTCAGATAAAAGTTACTTTGTTGTCGCTGAGATGAAATTTCTTGGCTTTGTTATCAATCGAAATGGGACTAAACCTAATGAAGACAAGACATCGGCCAGATCAGGCCAAAGGGCCGACAGTGTAATACAAACGCCACATCGGGAGCGACCGGAAGGCGGTTATCGGATGGCCGTCGAGAACCCCTAGACATCTTATAACTTCGCATACAACAACCCCTAGACAACGTATAATTTCACGATGCGATTAACCCCTAGACAGACGAAACTTCACAGACGACAATCCGAGTAGACGAGGTAACGTTACGTGCTTCATGGGTATGGTAAGGATCGGCCACGGTCAGRCAATGGTGTCATGTGATAGCCACCGCACGGCAACCTAGTGCAGCGTTGGGGAATCGTAAACGAGGAAGTCTGCATAGCGCTGGCGAGCGAAAGCGAGCGAATATTACAGATACAGGTCGGTGCGAGACCTACATGGTGCCTACGACACTGGCGACTTAAAGCCGATTCATCCTTACGTCGAAGTAACGACGCAGGACGTTACATTATTATTATATTTCTTAGGCTAATGTTTGTATTAGTTTGATTAACATTTTACTATACTTTAATATTTAAGGTAAATTTCAGCAAAATGTTTTCAAACTTTTAACTATAATTTAAAACAAATGTAATAAATAATTTTAGGTTTAAAGCATCAATTATTATGTTAAGTTATTTTTAGATCATACAATATTTATGTATTATAAATACCTTAAAGTACTGTTAAGTGTTTAGATTTTTGCTAAATTGAAAAATTAAATTAAATTGATTTAATTTCTAATAAACATTTTTAATTGACTACCAACTATTGGACTTTTCCTAAAATGGTTGTAACATTTTTTCTTAAAATCAATTGATTATCCGCACAAACATTACAATTGGATTATCACAATGCGGTCAATTTGGCTGACGTTCCCACGCCATACATMCCTTGCTGTACGTCAACGTATGTAACTATATGTTCCCTATYTCTCTGTTCGGTTGCATTAACGTTGGCTATGAGTATACTGTACTTCCAGATCTGCTCGAGTCTACTCAGACAGTCATACTTGAGAGTCAATAGCATAGCTATMCGACCTAATACTCGGCTACCATTRCGAAGCCATTCAATGTCAATCAGATTTTCTCCGTTTCTCAATCTCAGTCGTAGRTCACAGAATRTCTTTGAATAACCCATGAGTCGTGCAAACCATTCATGATATTGACTGATCAACTGTTGTCTCTCAAAGATGTCCAACAACTCTCTGGCCATCGCGCGGTTCACAAAATATATACGCTGTTGATTGAGTGCCTCGATGTCTGTGAATTGTAGTGCCATTGCTTGACACCCGTTGTTTCCGGCAAATTCATTGTCGGCATTGAGATCGCCGGTTAAACCGTGACTGTGAAGTGGTACCCAATACTGTCTGTTTAACTTTCTGTATACCAGCCACGGTAGTTCATTTTGCGGTCGTTTACACCGATAGCCAATGATTGGGTCKGGAAAAGACTGTGACRCTAACGAATATTSCTGAAGAATGCCATTGACTTTTATTGCTGTAACCCTAACGTTGAACTGATGGTCATTCCATAGTACGATGGGTTGGTTRCCCTCGTTATCAATTGTGATGGATGTCTGGGGACCGGCAAACTCATTGAACCTTTGTTGCCAACTCCTTACAAACTGTTGGTTTTGCATAATTGTCKCAACAAACTCACGATAATCGGTCAYAAATTGATTAACATCTTCATTAGACATCCAATTCAATGGAGGAATTTCAATGGCTGGAGGWATTGGTTGGCGTACTGGTGGCTGTGGCGGTAGATTTGRTCTCAACAATKGCATTGTATCGGTGCGGACAATAGCAGTCTTGTATATCTGTTCCGATGTGACGGCTGATGYCATTTGTTGCAAATAGAAACCACAGAAGACATAGATTTCGTCTCTGAAATTGTTGACGCTTTGGTTGTCGACACCCATACCTATCCATTCAAACAAATAGTCGGCAAATGCTATCAATGTATAAGCARTTCTAACTAACCTMAGTATATGTTGCTGAAAGACAAACTGATTGCGCATTTCTCTGGCCGTRTCCTCGTCTATGACATATAAGTATGCGTTTTCCGGATTATGATAAAYGAGTTGAGACTGTTGACCACCGGTGCCATTGATGCCATACGTGAACATAGCTTTGTAACCGGCATATCGATTAGCAAATTGGGTTTGAACCAGACGTCGTACAAGTTCTAACCCACAATCTACTGTACGATCACGAAATCGCCAACTGTTTTGTAAGTCAAATGAATAGATATTATTGTATGAACCGACTTGAATAGGAAAAACATCACCGGATATGCATAGCTGTTGCTGAACTATAACTGTTCTCATATTGATAAATGGTTGACCACCAGCCTCAGTRAAKGGYACGCCYACCACTTGTGTCTGCATTAAKGCATTGTAAACCTCCGGCCAACAGGCCTTTATTAGATCTTCATTAGGCAGTTGTTGTTGTTGTTGTTGTCCATTCATTGTCTTTGATTATCTTAGATCAAGTATTATCTTTAATTAGAAACAGTTTTATAGTATTTGTGTGCTAATAACTATTGTATTATTGTGCACTTTTTATTTTTAATTTTTAAAATTAAATTTAAAAAATTCATATTAACTATCATATCTGAATGGGCGCTGAACCTCAATGGCGYCTACTATAAACCAAAACAGRTATAAACAGTCAAACGACCTGACCTTACTAACTGTCCTACCGGTACTCAATAAACATATTATAAATATTATGACATTAAATTTACCATTAAAACTACAGTATATAAACTTTTATTATATATTATATTTTTTATTTCAATTTTTTTATTTTTCTAATTAAGTTGTATAATTTAACACTATTATAACACAACAACGGCTATAACATAAAATACTGTATTAGCATTTTGTACATTCAATTTACTTAAAAAAGGTGATTTATATTAATATATGACAATTATTTTATTTAGAAAAAATACCAGTATAAATTTCATTGTTAAACAAATTTCAACATTAAAATTAAAAACTTGTTAATAAAGATAAACGATTTTTAATAAATAATTTGACATATTATAATTATTGATAATCATTAACATATTTATCACATTTAACTTATCATTTTAAAAACATTATTATTAATATTATAACTMTTATTTAGTAACATTTTTATTATTTATAACTTATAATTATAAMCCTAGAATTTTTGTTTGATGTTTATCATTAGTTTGACGACATGATGTATGTTTTAAATATTTTAATTAATTTATGATAAATTTAAAGTTTGAATTTTTAAATTACAATTTAAATAAAGCTATTAAAAAATTTGCTTTTAAATCACTGGTAGTAATAAGTTAATGTACTTTAGATTATATAATAACTATTTAAATATAGTAAAGTRATCAGGGTTTTCGATAATTWAAATAAATAAATATATATTATAATTTGGTTTCAATATTGTTATTTAAACTTTCAATTGTTGAACACTAAATGATGRTTATTTGATAAAATCAATTKWCTGTCTGATGCAAACACACACACATTCATATAAATACATACATACTSTTACATCGATTACCACAATGGAGTCAATTTGGCTGACGTTCCCACGCCATACATACCTTCCTGTGCTCTAACATATGTGACTATATGTTCCCGATTTTGCTGTTCGGTTGCATCGACGTTGGGTACGAGTATACTATAGTTCCAGATTTGTTGTAATTTAGWGATCTGTTCAAACTTRWACATCAATAGCATAGAAATCTTACCTAATAATCGATTGCCGGCGCGAAGCCATTCAATGTTAATCAGATTGTCTTCGTTTCTCAATCTCAGCCGTAGGTCACAGAATATCTTTGAAAATCCCATGAGTTGTGCAAACCATAGATGATATTGACTGATCAACTGTTGTCTCTCAAAGATGCCCAATAACTCTCTGGCCATCGCGCGGTTCACAAAATATATACGCTGTTGATTGAGAGCCTCGATGTCTGTGAACTGCAATGTCATTGCTTGACACCCGTTGTTTCCGGCAWATTCATTGTCGGCATTGAGATCGCCGGTCAAACCGTGACTRTGAAGTGGTACCCAATGCTGTCTGTTTAACTTTCTGTATACCAGCCACGGTAGTCCATTTTGCGGTCGCATACACCGGCATTCATGATTGGCTGTGTCGGTAAATACATTTGAAAATAACGAATAACCCGTGAAAACGTCACCCGTYTCCGTTGGATTTACTCTAACGTTGAACTGATGGCCATTCCATAGTGTAACGATTTGRTGGCCTACGTTATCAATGTTGATAGACGTCTGCGGACCGGCAAAMTCATTGAACCTTTGTTGCCAACCTTTGATAAACAGTKGGTTATGCAGAAGTYCGTAAGTGAATTCACGATAACTGGCCATAAATTGRGCAATTGTTTCATTAGGCAACCAATTTAATGGCGGAACTTCAATRGCTGGAGGTATTGGRTTTCGCACCGGTGGTTGCGGCGGTAGATTTGGTCTCAACAACTGCATTGTAACTGTTCGGACAATAGCAGTCTTGTATATCTGTTCCGATATGACGGCTAATGTCATTTGTTTCAAATAAKAACCRCTGAATATATAGATTTCTTCTCTGAAATTGTTGACACGTTGGTCGTCGACCCCAATATCTATCCATTCAAACAAAAAGCCGGCAAATGATAACAGTGTGTAAGCATTCCTAACTAACCTCAGTATGTGCTGCTGAAAGACAAACTGGTTTCGCAACTCTCTGGCCGTGTCCTCRTCTATGACATAGAGGTATGCATTTTCCGGGTYCAGATAAATGATTTGGGCCTGTGGACCACCGGTACCATTGATGCCATACGTGAACATAGCTCTGTAACCGGCAGTACGACCGGGAAAGTTAGTTTGTATCAGACGTCGTACGATTCCTAACCCGCAATTTACTSTACAATCGCGAAATCGCCAACCGTTTTGTAAGTYAAATGAATAAGCATTATGTGTGTAAATGAGCTGAATCTGAAAGACATCGCCTGAGATGCATAACTGTTGATTAATTAGTCTTCTCATATTAATGTACGGTCGACCCCCTTCATCATTGGACGGTACGCCCACCACTTGTGTCTGCATCAATGCCTCAAAAACCTCTGGCCAACCGGCGTTTATTAGATTTTCATTTGGCAGTTGYKGTTGTTGTTGTTCATCCATTTTCACTGATTGTGGATCAAGTTTTTGTTATGTAAGCGAGTGCTGAAAATATTATATTTAATTAGAAACAGTTGTCTTTTTATGTACTAATTACTAYTGTATTTGTTGTTTTAAGTTTTTTTAATTTTATTTTTCAAATTATATTTAAAAATTAATAAGATTTTGTTTTATAACAATGCATTTTAAAAATATTASTATACATCTAACAAATTTGAAAATATATAAATTTAAAAAAATTTTATTTTGTTAATTGGGCTTTAGTTACATAGAGGACTTCGTTTTTAACATTGTTGTTAACGTCTAAAATAAAAACATTAATAATATCATTATATTTGGGTTAATTAGGAGATGGATGGGGTGTGAGGTCATGAAGTGGTCTATAGAGTCATAATATGTTTGATATTAGTTTTTGACTTATAATTGAATAAAATTAAYTTATTTCWCGTGAAATAGTTTAATCAATACATTTAATACAGTGTTATATTATGTTAAATCAATGCATCAATAATATCAATGTTAAAGACCTTAGKCTTTRATAATTTTTTTTAAAGGTAAACAAAACCAACAATTGTTATCATTGTTCTCAAACATATACAGTATGTATACATGGATTACCACGCGATACATACYAWACAACAACAACAACAYATTTTTTGACAAAATTCCCAAAACACGTATATAATGATTATGTATTTTATTTTATAATTTTTGAGATATAATATATCCCAGTTCCCCGCATCCCGGAGCTGTAATATATAAAAATGTGCTAAAATTATAACATCCGTTCGATTATTCCATAGTACAAAATTTTATTTATAATACTTTTAACATTATCATTTCAAAAGTTATAATCAAAAAACCGTGTTCAAGCATTTTTGAAATCGATTTTATATAAAACATCCAGTACAATTAACTTTTAMGCGTTACCTTAAAACTTTTGATATTTTTTTATTTTGTTTAGAAAAAAATTATTTTATTTGGTATACAAATTTTAACATTAGATTACATTAGATACAAAAATTACAAAATAAAATTATAAAATGAATTCATAAATAATTTTAAAAATAAATAATTTTGCAAATTATTTGTTTCAATAATTTACAGTTTTATAACATTAAATTTATTATTAWTGTCATTATTATTATCTTTAACGGTATAAGTATTGATATTTTGTTTTAAATAATTATTATTTTCTATATTATTAGTACTATTCGTCCTTTTATTGAACATYGCATCAAATATGTTAGAAAACGGACATTCAATTAGTATATAGAAAATAAACGAAAGTATTATATCGTATATGATGTCGACAATMGTGTGCTCTAACTRTATAATTATAACAAAATAAATTAAAATAATTATATTMTATATATAATTAAATTATAAATAAAAAWTTTTACCATATATTTGKTAGTCATGGCATAGGTGTGCTTTACTGAAAACGCCCGGTGCCCGACAACTAAATTGTGCAACAAATACATGCCAAGCGATAGACGGGCCAGCGGTTGAAAGCCATTCCACGATAATATCCGATTWAAATATCCTATTATAACATGGATTATAATAATTAAATRTTAATTTTTTWAATATTAAGTTTTATTGTTATTATTGTGCTTTCATACCGGCCCTTCCCGTACAACAGGCAAATAGTATCCATCCGATACCTAATGAAAACAGTAACTTTCCCAATGAAAACCATAAAAGTGCGCCAACAATAGGTTCCGATTGGTCTAAACGCCAGAAMYKGTTGTGCCATAAATACACTGATATTACTGATACCACTGACAGACACCATGAAATMAGTGACTGCATGTTTGTRATGGTAAACCGTTTAGCTTCGGTAAGCATAAACCCGAAACCTATGCCAACCAAAAAGCTTACTAAATAGACATTTGGTGTCGTGTGATATAAGGCTAGTGACCGACTGTTGCTAAAAATAACTGTTTCCAGACTCCAGATCTGTAGATATGGACGAATGCCAAATGCCAGGTAAGGTAGTATAGATATAACCAGTCCTAATAGTATGGCACCAACAGTTAGTATAATACCATACACTGGYTTTTTATAGAAGGCAATGATGAATATGGGYGCTATGGCTGTTAATTGTAGTAATGCCGATAAAAACCATGTCATCGGATGACACTATTATGCCATAAAAAATTTGYAATTTTTTGTAAAAACTGTTTAAAATTAGTTTATAATTTGTCAAATACCTTAAGCTCATAAAAATTGCTGGACTCTAAACCAAAATTATTGATAAACARTATGTTTTTATAGAGAACAGCAGGATTTGTACACCCGGTGCTGATCTTTCGGACTCCTGTCTCCCAAATTGGTCCGTCACCGGTGAGAGGGTAGATATAGAAGAACAGTATTGATCCCAACACTAACACAAGAAATCGAGCGTAACGTTGAACCATAAATACTGGATAATTAAATCGACCGTTTGTTTTGTGAAGTTTTCGTAGCAAACCGTATGATAAAAGTAAACCACTGTAMGAGTGATTATATACATTATATAAATTGTATATTATTATTGTTATTAATCATATAATAGGATCATATAATGTGTGAATATCTATTATGAACGGGTTATAGCATACCTRAGTGTGAATAAAACGTCTACCGGTAGCGGAGTTCTGGCAAAAACCATTGAATTATCGGCAAATACTTTGTGAAAGACATCGGAAAATATTTGTTTGAGTGCCGACACACCAATTGACGACACGTATTGATATATATGACCCAAATGTATGTGTATTATCATCAACAGTCTGATTGTGTCCAACGCCGCAAAATTAGTATTTTTGGCAAACAATTTACGAGTATTTTTTATCAGTGAAAATGATAATAAAATGTTRTTATCWTTGCAAACATTAATATTATTTTTTGTTGTCATATATTCAGTTGAATCTGTCTCTAATTGTTGACACACTCGRCGCTTATGTATGAAATAGTCGGCACAAGTACTTACTATYRCCAACAATGTTAGAACTGATAGTATAGATCTAATAATTTCAATGAAATTAATTTATAATAATTACTATATTTAAGTTATATATTATATTATAATGTAAATTGATCATTTTTTTATCTTACATTGATACTATTTGAAAATTATCAAGCTTAATTTTTTCATCYTTGGTATAACATTCGTTTTGATTAATTTCTAATGGAAAGTGKGTCACTGGATAAAGCACTGGTAGTCCAATAAAAAAATGCCATAAATAGATTAATGTGATATATGTTGTTAATTGTTTTATTTTAGTTATAATATCTATTATTTACATTTATTGAGTGTAGTCTCGATCTCCCGGGCCGTACAAACAGATGGTATACAAATACCCAACTTATAGATAGTGCCATTCGATAGGTTAAGCGCTTCTATCATACCCTTGACAGTTGCCAACTGATGCAAACCGTAACTTTCCATTAGTTTTGTCCTATACTCTAGTCCTCCCTGAGCCAAAGGCTCTCCTTCATTGTAAGATTTCATGGACGGGTAGGGCAGTTTGGCATTCAATACACAGTATTGACCCTTAATTGTGTTGTCCGGTTCATTAAACCGATGCCCAATGTCAATACATTCATCATATTCACCAAAACTCGATTGTATGCCTTCAATAAAGCCCGGAGGCGGGAACCGACCCATTGAATCCACAACTAGTATTAATTTGTATAATAAATGAAATATAAGTAATTTTTATCATGATAATTTATATATTTTTTTTTGTATGRAATAGTTCAAAAAATATCTTRTAATCAAATGTAACACAAAGTCAAGGACAGCATAATTTTTGAAGAAATTATGTGAATTGAGAGCACAGACATCACGTATTAGGTGAGCCTCACATATCAWTGAMTACACCGATATAAATGTATTAATATGTGTTTGTCGTGCGGATGGCAATTGGAGGTCATATCTCATATAGATATTAGTTTTTTTTATATATAAAAGTTTATTACCCACTAATAATTGTAATTTTTTCTTATGTTCAGAAGTTTAATAGTATAGATAGTGGTATCAGTTTGTGTGTGTGTGTGTATGTACTGTATGTGTGTGTTATAAATTCAAATGTGATAAATATAATATGATTTTTTATGTTGTGAATTTTAAAACATATCGATAGCTCAAAAATAAAATGATTTAAAGGGTTAAATTGCATAAAACCGAAACCAAAATTTTAAAAAAGAGGATTTAGATTATATTATTTGTATAAATATAACTATAGCTTATAGTTTTTGAGRKTTGATTTTAAATAATGTAATATTTTAGAATTTGAATTTTTATAAAACATATAACTACTTGTTTTTAAAAGGTTCAGGTTCAATTCTGAATAAATATATATTTATAGTTTTTGTTAAGAAAAATATATCTACTATTAATGTTTAACACAYAYAGTATTAATAGTTATAATATTTTATATTATTAATAGCAATAAACAAGTTTGTATATTATATGATAAGTCAAAACAATTGTTATGGCTAAATTAGTTTGTATTTCAAGTATAGATTTAAATTTAGATATAAAATTTAAATAAATAATAATAAATTTATAGAAAAAAATAATTTATATTTTTTCATATAAATTATTATTTTATATAAAAATCGTTTATATAAAAATTATAAATATTATTTTGCTACACTTGATTTCRCAAATTTATTACATTTATTAATTAATTAACTAATACTACATTGAGATTTATAATTTTTACAAAAATACTTTTTATTTAAGCTTAATTATGATTAATATACTGTAATAATATCTTTATCTTAATATWAATCTTTAAAAATCATAATAAAATATTTTATTACAYTAACAATTCAATATTAATCAATTTATTATCATATTTATAATCTTTATTCTAAAAATAAAAGGATTTAMAGCTAATAAAATAATTATAAATATATTTAACTTTATTTATAACTTAATAATTTTTAAGTTTATGTAAAAAATCTTTWATAGTTAACTAATCAAATCAAATATTTTTTTTTAATTTAAGAAAGTATTAATTTGAAGTAAATAAATTTAAAACATTTAAAAAATAAATTAAATAAACAAAAATATAATTAATTTGTTAATAAAAATTGTAGATAAATTATATGATTTTTTTAAAATTTAAAAAGCAATATTTAAAAGTATTTAATAATATATTTAATTTAATTGTAATTATAAATTATTAATTGTAGTAATTTCTATTATAGCATATAGTACTAAACTAAAGTTTAATTAAATATTTTTGACTAAAATAAATTAGAATAATTATAAGAATATTATTAAGATTTTATTGATATATTAAAAATATTAATAAATAATATTAAAAATCAATTAATTACATACATTTAAGGGACCAAATATCCAGATTTCTGATACCAATGTAAATCTTATACAACGCAGCGGTACATTCAGTGGACAGTCGTATATCGATTTCAGATATAAATTCAAGAAACTCATGGCCCGCGTGTCCATCACTTTTGAACAGTTGTCCAAAATGTTGTTTAAAATTGTCGATTATTTTGAATGTATCGTTAATGTGTGGCACAGTTATCCTAAATGTATCGTTCAGTCCTTTTTGATGAAGTTCACGAAATTTAGTCAAAAAAGTTTCTTTAATTAAATCGGTATTTTCATTGTCATAATCCTCTCCGTTCTCTCCATAATCACTGTCCTCGTGATCATTGGTATTACTAGTGCTTTCCTCTATTTCATGACTACCCCAACTCCAGGTACTGTTATCACTGTCTGAACCGAAAAAGTTATAATCATTGAATAGTTCAGTAGTAGTAGTAGTAGTAGTAGTAGTAGTGATGGCAGTAATATTAGTTTGGGTAGCATTTAGTTTGTCACCACATTTCACAAATGCAATGAATAGAATAAAAGCAATYAATACTTTAGTTTTTACAAACATTTTGTTTTAATATAAAAACACATAAGTATTTAATTATTTAAAAAAAATAAACAAACTGTGATTTATAATCAAGTAATTTGTTTAAACAAAAAATGGTATATTTATATTATTTAAATAAAAGTATATTACTTGTACTTTATATATATTTTCTAAATTATAATATAATGTTTGAATTGCAATAAAACTCGCGCTTTCCCTCATTCGTTATATTACATCCCTTAACGTGTATACGACTGTCTATAATATCCTAACATTTTTTATGCCGATCATTGAACAGACGTTTTATTCAACGTAAGTCTCGATCAAAATGATAGTGAAAAAAGATGTATATATTTTACTGTGYRTAYAGTATAAGCTCAGTATATATATATATATATATATATATAAAGCAGTCAAATAAAAACGTCTGAACAAAAATAATGAAATATTTTTATTAAAATATATTGAAATAAAAAGAAAGAAAGAAAGAGAGAGAGAGAGAGAGAGAGAGAGAGAGAGAGAGAGAGARAGAGAGAGACTATAGTGAATATCTGATATTTCTGAGAACCAATACGTAAAACACTGAATAAAAATTTGGGGTTTTATGATATGAAAACAGGTTTTTCCTTTAAAAAAATCTTTAGCTATAGTTTCACCGGTGATATGATATCAATGTCTTAATTTAAAAACATTTTTTTGTGAGGACTTTTTCTTTCTTTATTTTTATTGTTTGTTTTTTAATTAGTGATTTCAATATAGATAGCAAATTATATACAGTATATTACATTTGTATATTAAAAACTTAGTACTAATTTTGTCACAACAAAAATAATTAATTAAAAATTATATTGCAATAACAATATRTATATACAGTTAATTTTGTATAATTTTTATTGTAAATTTATTAATATAAAAAAAATTTCAGGATATTACCTAAAGTTATWTATAGAGTTAAATTCCTGAGGATATAAACTATAATATTATCGATCTATTAATCAGWTATCTTGATAAGTTGAAAAAATAATTYATTATTAATTATTTTTTCCCATTAAATGATAAAAATACAAATTGATATATTAATTGGTTCATGAAATATCTGGAAATTTTATTTAATATTAATATGCAATASTTATTTTGTATAATTTTATTCAAATTAATWTCAATAGAATTTAATAATTTTATTYAAGTTTACAGACAATATTTATCTATTATTGAAAAATTAATTTAATKTAAAATAGTTAACATTATTTAATAAATTTATACTAAAAAATGTACAYTTAATACTTTATTAAGAATTACAATAGTATTGGTCTGATATTATACTATTACATTAAAATACATAAATAATTTTATCAATTAGCAAATTTTATATGTTTAACTGTTGCTACTATTTTATAAATATTATTAAACTTAATGTAAYTAAATGTAATATAAATTAAAAATATAATATGTTAAAAATATGTTATATTTCTATTTTATTTTCTAATTTTAATGTACAAAATAATCAWAGTTTTTAATTTTTGTTTGCAAAAAAATAATATATTATAATTATTTTTATTGTCATTATTAATGAATTTGTGTCATATTAAACAAATAGATTTGTTCATAATAGTAGTCATCCTGAGCACCGGTATATAAGGGTTGATAATTATAKATCAATAAATCTTTTAACGATTTTTCTTCAATAGCTTGACTTGTCGTATATCTGGATTCGTTGACAAAAAARTTGGCCATATATTGGCTCAACTGTATGGCATTGAACTGATGAGGACCGCCCTTCCACTTGTTGTTGTGGACGAACTCAAACTGATTCTTCTCCGGATGCCATTGGACACCATATATGGGAAAATCGGTATTTGTCGACTCCATTGTCGATATAAACGGYTTGTCCTTTAYATCCTTGTTTGTCGATATAATCCTAAAATGATCCCTGAGCTTAGATGACTCAAATGTTGTCTCATCTATACATTTCTGATGTTCATTATATGTGACRGCTTCTCCTGACTCGACAATCTTATAACAAAAATTTCAAACAATAGATTAGTTTAATAAAACAATAAATATAATTATATTTAAAAAAAACTTTCATTTACTTTGATAATTGACGGCTCAGCCCGACTAAAAAGACGACTGGTTTTATAGTCAGGTCTCAGGTCGAGACCAAAGTTGACATCTTTGGCACTACAGGTGCTCAGTTCGGCGCCATATAATATACCGATAAACTCAAATCCCAGACAAGTAGCCCAAATCGGGTACCGACGSGTTGAGTCTTTCTGTGATAATTGCCATAACAGACGACCAGCTTTTGCATATCCCGACGTATGTAAGTCCTGTCCACCGCCAGGCAGTAACAGACCGTTTGTTATCTTATAAACTTTTCTGTAATAAGTTTCTGTTTGRTTGATTAGTATGGGTACCTAAATAAATATATAAATACAATWTTAACTAATGATTTATACTATATATTTATAATAAATTATATTATTAGATAACATACCACTCTAGCACCGGCACTTTCTATATATTTGACATAACTGGCCGCTATATACGAATGGGTWAGTGTTGRCTCTTTCCAGTACTCCTGTGTTAATATACCAATTAATGGTCGGTTATTCATGGCTTCACAGTGATTAATATGATGGAAAGCCACACTAATTAGYRCAGTYATGTATAGGAACCGCATGATTGAAAAATGATTTTAAATTTTGTTAACACARAAATWAATTTCAATTTTTGACAACAATATATCTACTAATTTTTTTTTTTTAAAAATATCACACGATTTATTAAATGTATTAATTATTAGATAGTACTTTACTTATATTAGCACTTGTAAATTGATCAAGTATATTTATGATAATATGAGTATTATATGACATTAAAATAAACTATAGTTATAATACTGTATAATATCTAAAATTTGTTATACAGTTACAATGATTTATTATATAATGATGATGAACTATTATTTTTATTAATAATAGATAACATTGATTAGACATATATATATTATATTCTATATATATATAAACACTCTATAAATAATAATAATAAAACTCATTAATTGTAACATAATACWRTATATATTATTTATCTAAACATTATATATAAATTACATATATAATTAAGTAAAATTAAAAATATTTTCTAATTTAAATTATATTTAAATATATATATATATATATTTCTTACTATTTTAACTAACTAACTAAATGTTATAAATCAACATTTACTTRGAATATAATTATTAATTAAATAATTAACAATTAATTAATTATTAAATCAGATGGCGTGCAATGCAAWCGTTTGWTTTAATCATTTGATTGTTTTTCAATATCAATAATTATTAAAAATCTCAAAATTTTTAAATATTTCAAGTATTCTCATAAAAATATCCAAAAATATAACAAAACACACAAAAATAAAAATAAGACAAAAWCTTATATATCATCAGTATATAAATAAAAAACAATTACAGTGTATTATGTGTACAATAGTACTAATTAATGTACACATATTATYAATTATAAAACTATTAGTTTAATAATATTGATATATAATAACAATAGTCCTTTTAAATGAATAACAATTTAATTTAATGCAAAGAAACTGATTAAATGAAGTTAAGTATTAATTTGTTGATTATTTTGAATTGGTTTGATTTATTTGCTAAACTTCCTAGATGATAAGTTAATATTTTATCAATAAAAATAACAAACATAATGTTTATWTTACATTATATAGACAAGTGATTGAAAACTAGTGTTATCAATSATAACTTTATGATGAATATATAATATAACAAATTTATCAAATATTTTATTAAAACTTTAAAATTTATAGCAAATAATGAGTAAACTAATTYAAAGTTAATTCAAAACTATTTATAATTTTGTACTAATTTATATATGTAATTSAATTTTATAAAGTTAGTTTTCAATGACTGATATAAACACTATACYGTAGTAWATAACAATCATAGTGTAATTTAGTATTTATTTTAATGTTATCATAATTTGTATAATTTATATCAAAAATTAGATTAAGTAAAATTTTATCTTAAATAAATATAAATATTTTAAAATTTAGTATKCTATAGAAACTTAAATWTTTAAATTTAAATTTATTGATATAAATTAWTTTATAAGTTTAGATATACAGTATTTATAAAAATATTTGATTATATTAGTACTMATTGTAAATTTATAACATTTAGTTAGTTAGTTAAAACAGTCAGAAAAATATAAATTTATTTATAATATTTTAATTWTACTTACAATTGATATCATTTGTTACACGAGACTCAAGWTTTAAGTGGACACATATCTTGTAATACATTCWGTGATTTATATAACTGTTATAAAACTAAAAGTTTTTTATTTACKATATTTTGCTTATGTTTTGAATATTTATGAGAGGGCTTACAATATTACAGGATATGAAATGTTTAGATAAATAATATAAATAAAAATTAAATTGTATTATTAAAAAAATTTAAAATAAATTGATATAAAATAAACAATAATAAAATATATATTACAAATTTATAATACAATCAATAGATATAATATAATGATAAATATTGTATTTTATGTATTTMTATGTCGAACTAAAATCATGTATTAATTTTAATATTTTAATATTGTATGTTTAAAGTATAATATGTATCTTATTATTGTTTTATTTTAAATTAATTAATTTTATATTTTAATAATATACTTTTATTATAACATATGGGGTAGGGATTTGTGCATTAAAATAAAAATTATTAATAATCCAATTCAGTCATATTAAACAAATAGATTTCCTCGTAATCGTAGTTTTTTTGAGCCCCGGTATATATCGGTTGGTAATTATAAATCAATTGAGATTTAACTGTTTTTCATCCATCATCTGACTGGTCGTATTGCGGGCCTCATTGACAAACAAATTGGCCATATATTGACCCAATCGTACGGCATTGTACTGATGAGGCGGTCATTTAACTTTGGTATTCAATATAAACTCAAATATAGTCTTTTCCGGATGCCATTGGACAACATAAATGGGAAACTGAGTGTCAGTCGACTCGATGGTCGATATAAACTGATATCCATTGTCATCCTTATTGGTCGATATAATTCTGAAGTGATCTTTTAGTGCCGATAATTGAAATGTCGACTCATTTACACAATACGAGTGCAAGTTATAGCTTATAGATTGATCCGATTCTACAATATTTTTATTTTATATATAGTAATAATAATAAATTTAATAGATTAGTCTAAAAACATAAATATTTATAAATATTTTATATAACAATTATTTTCAATATGATTTATCAATATTTTTTTACACATTACTAAAGTTTAATAATTTTTTAGCTAATGTAACAATTAAGCTGATGTATCAAAGATGAACAATTATTTTTATTAATAATAGATAACATTATTTAAATATATTTTATTTATATCTTAATTATTATATACTTTATGAAACCCGAAACATAAGAATATTTGTATTTTTAAACTTATTCCGGTAATTATAATTTTCAAATATTAAGTAAAATTTAATCAATAAGATTAGATAAGCAAAAAATAAAAAAAAACATACTTTAATAACTTCTACTCTACTAAACAATCGACTGGTTTTATAGTTAGATCTTAGTTTCAAACCATATGTCCTATCAGTGGTGTTGCAGTTACTGAGTTGACCGCCGTATAACATACTTATAAATTCAAAGCCTTGACAGATACCCCAAATAGGGTACCGACGGTCAGGGTTTTCGTGAGTCAATTGCCATATTATACGGCCTGCCTTTGAGTAACCAGAAGTCTTTAAGTCCTGTCCCCCATCCGGTAGTAACAAACCATTTGTTATATTAAATATCTTTCGATAATATGTTTCGGTTTGATTAATAAGTATCGGTACCTTAAATATGATAAAATGTAAGATTAATTAATTAATTACAAAATATAGTTATAACAGTTATTTTTKAGTGCAAATATATCATACATACCACCCTAGCGCCAGCACCTWYTAAAAACTTAACATAACTGTCCGCTATSTAAGAGTGGGTYACTGTATTTTGATCCCAATATTCTTGGACTAAAAYACCGATTAGTGGTCRGTWTRTCATTGCATTGATCTCATRATTGWATGTTAGTATTAMTAACAAATTTAAAAATATATAATTCATTGTCAGTTTATTTTTAATAGAAACAATTTTTTTCTTATAAGATATGATTAAATTAAATAATAAATATATTGTATATTGGTACCTCTTTATATATATATATATATAATTTTTAATTTATACATTTATATTCAATAATTTTAATTTTAGTACTTTGTTAGTATATATAAACATCATATTTTGTATTTCTCATATGAACTAGCTCAAATAATTAAAAATTAAATTAAATATCAATTTCATATATGCATAATCACAATAAATTTTAACTATATTTGGCTATCATTAAATAATTATMATTATAAGTATTTCATATTAACATAAGTAACAAAAACATATAAACTATAATGATTTAATAATTTTTTATGATAAATAATTAKTMATTTTTATTAGTTAGTTAATTAGAATTTATTAATATATTAAAGTTTATAAATATACAGTATTTTAATTCATCAATAGTWTYAATAWACTAATTAAATGARACTTTTTTGACATTTTKACTAAAATAATTGAAAGTTTGACTTACTATTTGAAAACTATTTGTGTTTGTAGTTTTTATATTAGTATAACTTTAACTGTAAAATTCTAAAATAATTATTAAAAAATATATATACTGTATATTATAATTAAGTTTTAAGCTTTAAAATTGTATAAAACACAATATTATAGAAAAAATATAACAAATAATTAATTTATTGTTARTTCGTTTAATTATTTATTCTATAAAAATTAATTATTTAATTTAGTTTATACATTAATMTTATTAAACAWTTGAATAAATAATAATAATAAATTAAGATAAACTAATAAATTTATTATTTAATTTAAAGTTTTTTTAAATTTAATATTATTAATARTTGTTTATTTTTTGYTAACTAAATGATTAGGTTTTATATAATCAAACATTTTCARTAATTCTTCGGGACTGGCATTTGGGTGCCGCACCCGTAGTTCATTAACAGCTCGGGTGGAAATGCGTTTAATTATTGGCCGAATTAGTTTGGGATTTCGTTTCATACGTTGATAGTATTTGGGACAGTCGTTTGTCACAGAATTGCACACCTCTTTGGGYACATTAAGCGACTCGAGAGCAGTGCTTAGCAAACTGGCCATYGATTGAGCACTGGATGCCAATGGCAACAAATTTTCAAACATCGGTAGCAGCAAACTGGCCATCAACTTAAATATTTTAATAAAAATCTGTTTTGATCCTGCAGATATTGCACTCGTAGCACCTGTACCTACGATTACAAATGCCTATTACACAACTAAAATACAAACAGCACTGTTCTATTARCAGTACCTGATTCACCGTCGCCCTGTTGTTGTTGATCACCCGGTGGTGCATTGAACGACTGAGGTATGTTRCCATAGTTAGTACCTGTGCCGGAACCAATGTTACCCATTGGACTCATGCCAGGCAATGGCGGCAGCGCTGGYATAGCCACACCTGGTATTGATARACCATTACCCGTGCCCGTWCCTGTACCCGAACCTGTACCCGTGCCTGACGAAGAAAATGAAATGGGACTTTGACCTGAWGGACTRAACGTCATTTGCCGATGATGATTTACATGTGGTCTATGATGATCCCGGTGCCGRACACCGGGTTTATGATTACTGTCTACGACATCAGCCACTTATCATTTAAAAAATTAATTTAGATATTTGAAAAAATCATATTAAATCTYTATATTTAAAAAATTATRAATTCAAAAAATACATACATAAACTTGAGATAAAAATTACAAATAAAAGTATCAATTGTGCAAACAATTTGTTTAACATATTGTTTRTCTAATAAAATAAAAAAGAGTTAGTTTTACTTAATTAAATAGTTAAATAACTAAAATTTATTTAGAAATTTTATTATACCTATTTATTTTGTARACTAAATAAAATTTTAACTTGTAACCTAATTWAAATTATGYAACTTATGTTGTTGGATTRAATTWTAAAATATTATTAATTATWTAAACTAGATTTAAAATTTAATTAAWTATTATTTTTTAATTGCAGTATTTATTTTAAGTAAATATTAAAAATTATTGACTAAATGACMATAAAATWGTCAAAAACATAAACAATTGTTATGAAACTCAATAATACAATAAATTATAATAATTTACAAATGCATTTTTGATAAGATAATATWATTTATATTTATTAAATTAAATTATTTTTTAAAAAATGGCAATGTAACAAAGGATAWTTATATTAWTCATTATAAAAATAATATCATTTTATATATTTTATTGATTAATTAAAATTAATTTAATGTAAAATTACWTATAGCAGGATTTTGTAAAAAAATTAMTAATAATTATATGARTACATTAAATATCTATTGATTATATWTCTATGGGATATCCCGATATGTTAAAGTATTAACTTATTTATAAACTTATTATAATAAAATATAATAGATTTTTATTATATTAGAAAATTTTTTAAAGAAATCAAAACTAACTAAAAATTACATTAARAATATTATATAAATTTTTGTTTTTTAAATTGAATTTTATTATTAATGGATACATTTGGTTAGTCAATATTAGAGTCAATTATTTAATTTTTAGTTAGATATAATAATTATATATACATAACTAAAACTTAAATAATCTACAACTACTTGTTTGCACTTTGAAACAAACAATTAATAATTTCTACTTAATATTTTTCATTATAAAATAGACTTAAAACAAATCAATGATTACAATTATTTCCTAGTAATATAGAAATTTTTAAAAATTATAATTATTTTGATTAATATTATTTACTACTATATAAAGACAAGTTAGTATTGTCACAAAAATACAAAATTGTTATTATTAATGAAAATTAGTAYAATTTCTAATTACAAAAAAAACAATGAAATTGACAATTTATTTGGCACTTATAGTCATTGTCTATATATCGGTCACTTCGGCCAAAGTCGGTAATCGATGTCTATCGCGATCGGACTGCGAGGCCGACGAATGCTGTACCGCCACTCCTGTCTCGTACAACGTGTGTCTTAAGTATGGCTCAGAGGGTGATCAGTGTATGTTTGAGTCGCGMACACCGGTATGTTTGAGTTATACATATTTTTCTTATAATAGATAACCATTAAAACAATTTTTTTTTAAATATATAATAATTTTTGTTTTATCATAAATAAATTGTTTAGCACTGTGGCTGTAAATCTGGTCTTCAATGTGTACAACAGCCGCAAACTAGTCGAGGCTATTGTAAAAAATAGTGGACACAGATTTTTTCATGAAAAAATCACTAAATAAAATAACTAATTTTTTAAACAACCTTAATTATTGTAATTGATCRAAGATTAAATTATTTGATTTTTAAATTTAATTTTARTAAAGTTATTATAATTATAATTATAATAAATAAAACAATGATATATATATATAATACAATTAAAAATAAATATTAATAAATATTAAACAATTTGAGACTATTCTTTAACTTGTTTACGACTAACATCTCCGCTGTCATCKCCATCTACGCCATCATCGGGTCCGTCGATAGGTCCCAATCCATGTTCGTCATGTCCTTCGCTGTGAACAAACAGGTCGTCTTCAGGCTCTCCGGGACCGTCACCTTCTTCTCCATCCCAGTCACTGCCTTCGCCGTCGTCTATCTTGGAGTCGGCATTCATGAAYTCATCGGATGGCGGCAACCGATCTGGATCTCTATCAAAAGCCAGATCMGGCAATTGCGAGGCCACTGCTGGAACAGACATGTCGTTWACCGATCTAAATAAGGAACGGTATTCTTGTTTTGTTTCCGGTGTTTCCATCTGTTTGTCCATTGCTGGTGTAGAATCTGATTAAGRAAAAAAATAATCAAAATTTTATTTAATATTAATTATGATTAAGTTTTAACTGTGTTAATAAAGAAAATAACCTTGTTCATTCACTGGTGCAGCAGTTGTAGACTTTTGAATGGTATTGATTTGCTGTAGAAATTGATCCAAAATCTGTTGGATCAAACTCGACATATTTGTCGGATCTATTTGCTGTACTTGAATGGACTGTTGGATCTCTTTGACCAGCGATGGTATGAATATCTCTACATTCTGGTTGGGAAACTTTTCGCGTAATTTATCCAATAGTTTTGGCATTATTTTCCATACAAGAAATGGATTAGATTTTGATGGCTTTTGTGTTTCTGATAAATTGAAAAATATTGTTATTATTTTGCAATTAATATCATTTATAATTATTAAAATTATAAATAAATTACCAGCATTGACAACTGTGTAAAATATAAAACATAACGATATGGTAATGGAGTTTAATATTAGATTCATTATTATGGCTAAAAAATAATGTTTAATAGTATTTTAAGTAAAATAATTTATCTAAATATACTATCAACTCTAACACCAACATACAAGTGATAGTGTTTTAGTTTTAATGATTTACTTTTAACGTGTTTATTGCTATTTTTTAACCATGGTAATTAATAAAGTTCATTGCTATTTGACACATATATATTTTAGTATGTCTATCTAAGTGTGTGTGTGTGTGTGTGTGGTGTGTGAATGTAAAACATTAGTTTTAATTAAATTAATTTTTTCACAAGTTTGCTTATTTTAAAAAAAAGTATTGTTTTATTTATTTTTTTTTATAGATTTATGTATAATTACAACAAAATTTCGCAATGAATTTTATCAATAAATTGTTAAAATTATTTTTAATTACTATAAATTATTTGAATAATAAATAAATTACAAATAAATTAGTATTTTATATAAATAATTTAAAAAAATATACATATATATTTAAATTTTTATCTTAAAGTTATTAAAGTTTTTTAATTTTAGTGTTAAAATTTATAACGTCATCATTGCTATTATTTGTAACTTTCTCTACAAATTAGTAACAAATAAAATTAGTTTATTAACTTATATATCATTATATCATTTTTAAAAAATCATTTTAATAACCAGATTCTATGGTATATTCATTGTCAACTTCGGGTCTTATTGTTGTCGTCGGATTAAACAAATTAAACCATAATTTTTCAACCACAGATGTAATACGTTTTTTAAGAGCATCGGGAGTTAAATTTTGCACCGGTATTATCATACCTAACGATTCCAACCATTTAGCCACTGCACTGCTATTGGTTAGCGGTATATCTGATTGAATTTCATCCATAATTACCGGTACTATTGGCTCGTCTCTATTGACGATGACTTTGCCTAAAGCAAATATATTTTAACTTTAAAATAAATATTTTATAATTAAAAAAATATATAATTATTATTTTACTATTATTAAGTTGTTTACTTTTGTCGAGAATAACATTGTTTTCAATGTTAGAGTCTTTAGAATAAATGAAAAAAATATAAATAATTATTATCATAAATTAGAAAAATATTTTTTTATATAATTTGCATTTACATGAATTTAAAAATGAATGTATTGTTTCACATGTAACCAAAATTATGACAATTTTAATGAAATACATGATTACATAATTTTCATTGAATCCTATTATCTGTGATAAACTTTGTGCTTCAATCAAATATTTATTTTGTTAGCAAAATTATACGCAAAAAAAAATATTTTTTTTATAAATGCAAAACATGTGTGAAATTTTATGGAAGTGTCAGTGACTTATATATTTATATATTAATAAAAAATATATTTTGATTTTATAAAAATAATTAAAGATTATTAAATTATGGTCTTCAATTATATMATATAATAAAATATTTTTGCTTATCTAATAAATATAATAAAAATCTAATAGTTACTTTAAATAAATTACTATATTACAGGTATATATTTATACTAGAATCAAATAATMATTTTTTTATATCATATACAGTGTATACAGTATTATACACTAWAACAGTACTACTATAATATATACAAATTTTAARATTCAATTAATATACTAAAAATTCAATAATTTAGTATAAATATTATACAATAGATGTCAAGTTAGTCGACTAAAAAATACTGTCGACTTTGTGTTTAATAATACTACTGTTTGATAGTGTATTAGCCTTTTAAAAACCAATGCTATACAGAATTTTCAATAAAATAATAAATTTATTTATTTGCAAACGTATGAATAATATTATATTAATTTTATTGTTTCGACATTGATTTTGTCTAASGCATTATATTTTGTAATAATACTATTTTTTTATTTTTAATATTTATGAGAAAAATTTATTAAGTCTTCTATATATATATGAATTTTATTGGTAAACATATTGTATTCTTTAAACAAATATATATTCCTAAGTGTTTGTCTTCCGGTTCCTATCAAATAATATTCTCGTCGATGATATCTTTAGTTACTTTTAATTTGATTTTATATTTCATTTATAATAATATTTTTTTTCTATCTATCTCTCATTGAGTCACACAAATACATACTATACATACAAAGTGAGAGAGAGAGAGAGACTAAACGGGCTAATGATCTTGTTTTGGCAGTATTGGGGAAAGGGAGAGACAAGTGAGTGAGTAAGTGATAAACTGATAGAGAAAAGCGAGAGAGAGAGAGAGAGAGAGAGAGAGAGAGAGAGAGAGAATGAGAGAGAAAGATACTGTTGTTAGAGTTGTGTTGGTAGTAGTGAAGGCATTTAAATGCAATGGACAGACATGTGTACTGCAAATGTATACCACTTTTTATGCACTTTTATGGAGAATTACTTCTCAACAAAACTGAAAATAAAATAATAATTTTTTTTGTCGCTATATAGCTAGTAGTGTTTAGGTTAATAATATCATAATACTGTATAATCGTTTATTTATATATATATATATATAGATACAATATACTAATATGAACTTAAATTTAGTACAACTACTTGTACTACTAATATGTAATAAAAACAGTGGTAACAAYAATAATGCATTGTATATTCATTTTATTTAATATAGTAATCATTATATATAACTAACTATTTGAGAGATTCACTGGTTTGTAATGTCTACCCTCAGTCACTCAAACACACACACACACATATATAATATAGTATATATATATATATATATATATATATATATATATATATATATATATATATATATAATACATACATACCACTCAAACTCATACAGATAGTCCCTCAGCTAACCTTCCAAACAATTTTCAATCTACTATTATGTTGTCAGCCATAACTAGATTTATAGAAAAAAGGAGAGTAAGAGAGAGAGAGAGAGAGAGAGAGAGAGAGAGAGAGAGAGAGAGAGAGAGAGAGAGAGAGAGAGAGATAACATAACATAAGGACAGGACTTTAGTAGTGAAGTGACAAAAGACTAAAAACAGATTTTTCACATTTGGGTTGTGTTTTCTTAAAACATTTTATTTGCAAATATATGCTCTCACTGTATGATTATGTCTATATATGTTGGAATGGTTTTAGTAAAAAGGGGGGACACAGGCATCACCTCCAGGTGATGTGTGGTATGGTCACCATATAAGCCGGATGAACGTAACAATCGATTCATTAATGGCAATTGACCAGTGTATGTGTGTGTAAATGAACATGCTTAAATATAGAGTACCTATAACTACAACAAAAAGTTTTATGGTCATTTAAAAATTTAAAATACATTTCCAATAGAGAGAATACATTGTRTTTTATAATAAAGCATAAATAAAAATAGTTTTTATACTTTGCTTATGTAACAATAATTTTTTTAAATATCTATTAAATATGARTTATAGCAAAAATTATTTTMTTYTTAAATTCATTTATTTAACTTAAATTTAATTTATTTAAAGAATTTATAGATTAAAAATTTGGTAAACTTTCGGAAAATTTCCCTAAACCACGCCCACCATCACTAGAAACTAATGTTCCATGATGATTTTGACGATTTACTAAAGTAGAATAATTTACAAGTTATTTAAATCTAATTTTTAAATGTTATTCTATTAGACTAAAATAACTTATAATAGGACATACAGTACTAAGTATTTAAGTAAAATTTAATTAATGTTTACTAAAATGATTTTTAAATAAAATTACATCAACACAACAGCGTTAACATAAAAAAACTTATGATTAGTTTAAAGCATTTACATTTATATGGCATATGTTATCTCAAAATAATACTAATAGTTAAGCGCTTAAATATATATATATATAAATTATACAGTATATATGAACTCAAATAATAATAATTATTATAAATAATTTTCTGGTTTTCTCTCATTTATATATAAAGTCAAACAAATATCGAGTATCTATGGGAGCACTGAATGTAGAGATATTAGTATCTCTCTCTCTCTCTCTCTCTCTCTCTCTCTCTCTCTCTCTCTCTAACWCACTCACTCACTCACTCACTCAMTCACTCACTCACTCACTCACTCACTCACTCACTCACTCACTCACTCACTCACTCACTCACTCACTCACTCACTCACTCACTCACTCACTCACTCACTCACTCACTCACTCACACATACATACATACATACATACACTACACTACACACACACACACACACACACACACACACATACACACACACACACATACACACACACATACACACACACACACACACACACACACACACACACACACACACACACACACACTAACTCACTCACACACACTAACTCACTCACACACACACACACACACACACACACACTCACTCACTCACTCACTCACTCACTCACTCACTCACTCACTCACTCWCTCACTCAGACACTAACTCTCACATAGTCTCACTCAATATCTCTCATTCCTCTATCAATGGTTAAGGTTTGCGATCTCTAACGCCTGGCATCAAAATTACACAAAAGATTTCCAATGTTTTTGAATACCAAAGGCTTTCAATAAAAAAAAGCCAAAAGAGAGTGAAAGAGAAGAGAAGTTGGATATTAAATGTAGGCTCAGTTCACATATGCTTATCCAATGATTGCTAGATATGTGTGTGTATGTGGATATGTACACTATATACCGTATAGTATATATACCTTATAATATCCATATATATATATATAAAAGCGTACTTAAATATATACATGTCTTCAAATACAGTATAATAATGGCGTATTGAAAGCTAAATGACAAGAATCTGGACCTAAAGCTGATTGTATGGAGAAAACACAAACATTTATATTTATATCTATATATAGTATATATATATATATTCTGGTAGCCATTGACTAACATTTTGATTAGTTTGTTTTATACTTACTCTCTCTCTCTCTCTCTTTCTCTCTCTCTCTTTCTCTCTCTCTCTTTCTCTCTCTCTCTCAAACACAAACACACATACATATATACATATACACACGYCAAACCAACAAACATATACATATATACTCTCATTATTACTCTCGAAGTTCCCAATTCTCTAATAAATTTTTATTTTCTGTCATATTATATATGTGTATGTCATGAGTGAGTGGGTGAGTAACAAAAGTGATAGCAGTGTGTGGCAGTTGTGAACATTATAAGAGTGAATGAGAGAGAGAGAGAGAGAGAGAGAGAGAGAGAGAGAGAGAGAGAGAGAGATTCAGTGCATAAACTCAAATATATCTATGGGATTGGCGTTTAAATTAAAGTGAAAAATAGATACATACTATGTATTGTGTAATGAGAGTGAATGAGTGTGAGAGAARAGAAGAGAAGAGAGAGAGAGAGAGAGAGAGAGAGAGAGAGAGAGAGAGAGAGAGAGAGAGAGAGAGAGGAAATAAAAATAAGAATCTAATAGTACTATGCATTGGTAACAAACAGTCATGAAGAGTGAATAACACTGTTTGTTGTGAGCACTGGTATGTCTACATTGTATATTAAGTCTAACCTTATATGAAGTTACAAGAAAAGTAAGGGATGAGTGAAATATAAAGAAATATCGTTTCATAAAAATAACTACAAAATACAAAAAATGTAAAACACTGAGTGAGTRAGTAAGTAACAAAGTAAGTAAGAGAGAGAGAGAGAGAGAGAGAGAGAGAGAGAGAGAGAGAGAGAGAGAGAGAGAGAGAGAGAGAGAGAGAGAGAGAGAGAAAGAAAGAAAGAGAGAGAGAGAGAGAGAGAGAGAGAGAGAGAGAGAGAGAGAGAGAGAGAGAGAGAGAGAGAGAGAGAGAGAACTGGTAGGTATAGTATAAGTATATATAAAATATGGCTTTCGATCACAACTTTTACCAACAAAACTGAAAAACACTAATACACTATAGTATTGGTTGTATGAAAATATCATATAATATATTTCAAATATATATGTAGTACTGCACTATATATATATATATATATGACATATTGTATAAATGTCTATGTTTTCATCAATATTGCTATTTTGCATTTAATTTAAAATATTTTCTATATATATAAAAAACATATATTCATCAGTTTTGTTTTATGCATATATATATATATATATATATATATATATACTGTATATTAATATAAGTTATATCTAAAAATTGTTGGAAAAGTTATATATATTACATAAATAATATAAAACTTCTTATAATTTTTACAAAAAAAAACTTTGTCTCTATCATTGGCCATATGTATGATAATGAGAGAGTATGATATATATTTCAATATACTGTACACTGTATAGTAAATATAATAATACAGTCGACAACTGTTTTTGTATACACACATCTTAGTACACAATAAAAATTATTTTTCCATATTATGTTTTTTTTAAATACTAAATTTCAAGTTTAWATAAAAAATTTCATATATATATATATATAGACTAAATATTATTAGATAATAAAGTAAAATTAAAAAAACTGATTATATTCATATTTAAAATAATTGCAAAACAAAAATGAAAATTAATTTAATAAATAAATAAATAAATAATTKCTATAAAAATATTTATATAATAAATATTATTTATTATTATCGTTACATCTAGTATAATTTTTAATATTTTAAGTAATAATAATAATAATATTATTATTATTATTATATTATACATCAYAACACATATGACTGTACTTTGTACTGCTATTTTTTTGAATACATATATTGAAAAAAGTGCAAATAATCATATTGTAGTTATATATTATTATTTTATTTAGTTTCAGTAAAATAGTATTATATAAAAATTAATTATAAAAATACTAAATGTAGTAAAGATAATAATAATAGAAAAAAATATTAGTAGCAGTAATAACAATAATGATAATAATAGTTTTTTTTTGCAAATAGTAATAGTATAAACTATATATCTATAAATATATATAAATATAAAATTATATATATATTTAAATGTATATATAGTTATAGTTAGACATAAACAGTAGAATCGGGAATGCCTTTCAAGGACAGGCCGATGCTATGCTATATATATGTATATATGTGTCATATGTATGTTTAGTTTGCAATAATCAATGGTTTTTGTGTTGATCAGTGCCTATCTCTATATGTGTGTCCTCTGCAAGACTACATGAGCCCAATCACCCAAACGTGCATTTTATATATATTGTATACTATGTGTGGTAAGTGTCGGCCATTTTTCTATTAATAAGAATAATATCACTTCACTTCTCTCTCTCTCTCTCTTTCCTAAACCCAATAATCTCTCTCTCATTCTCTCCTATTCTCTCTCACTCACCGACTCTCTCTCTCTCTCTCTCTCTCTCTCTCTCWCTCTATCTCTGACTAGTTTTTCTCTTATTGCTCTCTCAATGCTCTCTCCCGTTCAGTCACACAATGTATACTATAATATACACACACAAGTAGTATCACTAATATATAGCGCGCACTGGTATTTAACATACAGTCTAACACACCGGAGAAAGAGAGAGARAGAGAGAGARAGAGAGAGARAGAGAGAGAGAGAGAGAGAGAGAGAGAGAGAGAGAGAGAGAGAGAGAATGTAAGCGTAAGTGAGTGAGTGAGTGATTGAGCGCATGCAGTGTTTGGCAGTGTTTTTGCAGTCAATGTGTTGTCTAAACACATCGTTTCGGTGTTCAGTATGTAAGTCCTGACTCTTATACTGTATATATATCCTAAACTATACATTCATTGGGAATGTCGTCAACAATAAGCCTAACCTAACCTTAAAGTCCTAACAATTTGTTTYTTCTGTGTGATCGGTATTATTGTCGATCGGATCTATCAGTGGCCGTAAAACTGACATATCGTTWGCCGAAAAAATAGATAATAAAAAGTTTTTTTTGTCAACCCTTTGATTTWGTCCGACACTCGGGAACTGTCTGTATGTAGTGAACCCATCGCCWGAAATCATCAGTTAATATATTTCTATTACTTTTTTTTAGTATACGATTAGGTGTCTGTGCTATCCATACATATCATTACCGGCTCTGGTGTTTGGGATACTAGTGTTGAACGGATAGCCAGTTCCCCAATTGGATGGGCATATAAACACAGTGTGGTATTTGTGTGCACTTTAATTGTTGCCAAACATCACTCTCTCACTCATCGCACACAGTAATCACGGGCACTGTTATGTCATATATGAATGATAGGAAAGAGAGAGAGAGAGAGAGAGTCACCCATAAGTCCCGCCTCATTGTGTACACCATTGCTATACTAACTCTATGAGAGAGAGAAAGAGAGAGAGAGAGCCATACATACATAGAAAACAACACAACACTCAACACTAATACACATATAATATATACAATCAAATACTGTATTGCCTTTTATTGTGTGCTTATGTATGCCTATCGAGTGCTGCAAAAAATGACAACAAAAATGTTCAACAATTTTGCCTAACATTGTATGTGTTGTCCTCAACAGTGTATGTGTTTTTGGGTGTTATAAATGTATGGCCATCACTGACCCCCACAAACACAACTGTTTGTTCAATTGAAAGTCTACGGGAATAACAAGTGAAACAATTTAAACGGATATACCGGACACTAACTACCTATMCATGAGCTGGAAGTGATGATTACACGACTACTGCCGATATCAACAACAACAACGACGACAGCACCGGTCGATGAGGAGGACAGCCATTGTTGTTGTTGTGCTGATGGCTGCCATCGTTGGTGTTGTTGTTGATGAGATACCTGTGCTGTTGTTGTTGTGATATATAATTTGTTTGTAATTTATTTAATAATAATAATAATATATGATATTATTATCCAATTATTTTTTGGAGATCAGCAGCACTACTACCAGTGGTGTACAGCACAGGGATTGTATGAAATTTGTTTTTTTATTTAGTAAACCACTGTCTTTGGTGGTGATGTGTATCAACTGAAATACTCTGATAATAATAGGCAACAAATAAAACAGTGATTATCTCTAATCATAATAACAGATAACCTAATAATATCATTAATAATAATAATAATAATAATAATTATAAAGTTTTTAAAAATTTGTCTCAAAGAAAGTGGACGTAAAGATAAAGTAGTTATTGATGTTGTCGTCAGTAATATACTCCTCGCAAGTCATGGATAATATACCGCAATGTCCGCCGTCATTAGACCCGAGAAAACAGGAACTACTGGAGGCCAGGTTTAAGGGCGCTCAACGGGTACGACCAATCGGTTTTTTATAACAAYATTTTCTAACCATTGATGTGATTAGCTATGATTGTGTCCATCAATTGGTTTTTAGTTTTATTTATGAAATTTATCCATTAATTTCTTTTTTTATTTRTCAATTGTAGGTCATATTTGGCCATTCAGTTCCCGTAATACAGTCCAACTCGAATTCGTTGACGAATCCGATGTTGGCCTCGCCTCAGGTTCTCGGCAACAACTCGGGCGGCAGTCAATCGTCATCGGGACACACGCCCAGCCATAACTGCGACAGTAATCTATCGACGGCGTCGGTCGGCAGTCATAACAGCGACAAAGACAACAACGCGTTGAGCGGTGGGGCCACTGGTGGYGACAGTACGCCTGAAAAGTGTCGTCCGTCGTCCAATCAGTCATCTACTGGCACACCGAACAGTGGCCAACAGTCCCAACATATTGAGCGTAAACGCCGAAAAAAGGCCAACGAAGTGGCGACCGAACAACAGGCCAACGGTTACCGATTTTTTTGATTATTTTTTTGAGGATTGTGTGAATAATTTTGTGCTAATTTAACAATTTGTTTGTTTGTTTGATTTTTTCGGTGATATCTATAGCATCAAAGCAAATGCGTGTCAATGAAGGAAATAAGAAAATTAATGAATATTTTAAGGTATGTCTGATTTTTTGTTGACTTTTCTTTATTGTTTGGTTGTGTTATATATAAATTAAACGACATATTAAGTGCTTGTTTGACATCAAATCTTAAGATTATATTTTTAAATATTTATTAATTTATATTTTGTGATATAATTACTGTTTCATTGTGTTGAATGAAACATTTATAAAATGGTTTTTTATTAACAGTATATTAATTACTTGTTTTTTTAATTTTGATATTTAAAAAAAATATGAAATGGTGTTTAATGTATGAAATTACAATTTTTTCAAACGTTTTATGATTTTTTTCTCTAATATAATAGACGTAAATTTTTATGTGTGGGTATCTTGACTACCAGTGCAACCATTATCTAGATAATAGATTATTTATAACAACATTACACTTGAAAATATGTAAATATCTAACAGCTATTATACCTGTATTATAATACAATTATTAGCATATATATATAATGCTAATATAATTTTCAATCACTTCCCCCAATTTATTATTTTCTAGACTAAACAAAATGGACTAAAAATAGTTATAAGTAAAGTGATAAATATATAATGAATATGATTGATAAATGAAAAATTTATTACCGGTAGTATTCAAATATTTTAGAAAATTAATTGAAATATACAGTTAAATGACGAACTAGTTATGACAAATCAAGTGATACTATTAGGAGATGATAGTAAACATAATAAGCTATTTAATTCATATACTTTAGTTGTTTTAAGTACTACTTTACTATACACAGTATATTATATACTATACTACTGTGTATTATTATCGGATTATAGAAAACAAAATGTGTTTTATGTTTTTCAAATGATTATCATTTTGCTAATTCAAAATGTCCACATAGTATTATTTATTAGGGACAGGTAGATACGATTTTCTAATGTGGATGTATGTATGTATAAGTAGGGATGTACCCGAAAGTTATGCTATAAAAATTGTGGTAATAATATTATGATTTTATTTTTCTGTTTAAATGTGTTAGTTAGGGGTTTATGTTTAATTGTGGATAATATTAATGTACTTAAGTTTGTTTTAAACATTTAGTAATTAAATCTTTTATTTATTCTCAATTTTTTGTTTCAAGTAATTTGAAAATTATAATCATATATTTTATATACTAGTGTTATTGGTTTTTATGTTTTCATTATATACAGTATATAGTGTATTAATATATACATTTTATAGTTTATTTTTATTAGACAAAAATGAAATGTTTTATTTTTTGTTTGTTGTRTGTCTCTTAAATAAAATTATATATATATATGTATAATATTTATTAAGTTTAGCACAAAATAAAAATTTGAGTCTCTTTTTTAAAAGTCATTAGACTCGCTATGGATATAATGCCCACAACAGCAACAAAAACTAAACCAGTATTTTATATTTGTTTTTAATTCAATTGTAATACAGACAATATATATATATATATATATACGTGTATATACTATATATATCTATATATACAGTAATAATTAAAAATATTTATATGAAAGAGATTAAAGAAATTATAACGCATATTGTTGTTGTTGTTATTATTATTATTTATTTTATTATTATTRTTATATTCAATATGTATATAATATTTTTTTGTGCTTTTTTAATATGAATTAACACTTTAAACACCATTTTGTTATTTTGATTTGCATATCATTAATAATTTAGTTTTGATTTGTTGAGAGAGAAAAGGATATGCAATTCAATGAAAATAAATAGCAAATAATTTTTTTTCATTACTACTTGACTACTAATATCATTAATATATAACTTATATATGTTATATATATAATGTTATAACAAATATCGTAACATTTTATTGAAAAATTTATTTTTATAATGAATTTGTGAGCTAATAATAAAAGCCATTTTACTTACAAAAAAGCTGTACAACATTTATAAATATATGTATAGATATATATAAATATATATATATATATATATATATATAACTTATATAATATAAGTCAAACAAACATTTTATAYACTATATTATAATGAATAATAATAATAATAATAATCACATAAATAATGTTTAAACTAAACAAAATTTGATTATATTTGTTGGTCCTATTGTTAACGTATTAAATATACATAATACAGACAATTAGCAAATTGCATACAAATAGTATATACATAATAAATATTAGTATACCATTAGCTTTTAATTTATACTCACATAGAATATGATAATACAATTAACATTTGTTATATATTTTTTCGGTAAATATAATAATAGCACTCAAGTCCTAGTCGTTACGGTGGATCCAAAAGTCCGACCGGAACTCATAATTTTTATATGTATCCGCCGTCGTCACCGAGCGGTAATCATCAACCGCCGCCCGGCCTCAGCACACTCGGTTCGCCCACAACAGGTGTACCGATTGCAGTGGCCAGTGGTGATTTATCATCGATGATGGCACCACCAGTTCCCCAGCAACGTCAGCCAGTCGGCAATTCCACGAAAATCACGCAGCAAAGCTGCCAACCTGCTGTCCTCTCGGCCGGCAACTTGTATTCCCAATCGTACGCCACGACAACCGCTGGAGGCGTACGCGACAATAACCAGACAACGTCGCAGACGTCACTGCCATTGCTACGCGAACCGGTACAGGTGTGCTCCAGAGCGGTACAAACGGACTTATCGATCAAGTCGTTGCGCGATCTCGAGGCCAAATCGGCGCACGACTTGGAAACACGCGACACGAAGATCGAAGAACTTCATCGTTCCAGTGATGAACTCAAACGGCAACTCCAGGCCCAACAAAAACTCATTGACAAACAAAAAGAACAGCTAAAGAAATGTATCGAAGTTACCAAAGAGTTACTAAAAGAGAAGTCGGCGATGGAGAAGAAAGCCGCCCGACAAAAGTGTATGCAAAATAGGTTACGATTGGGACAGTTTGTCACACAACGACAGGGTGCCTCATTTGTCGAGAACTGGGTTGACGGTCACGCCTTTACCGAACTTACCCGACGCCAAGAGCAGACCGCTGCAGCGCGAGAAGAGATTGAACGCCAAAGAAAATTGTTGGGCAAAAAGCGGCCGTCGCTGACGATCAACAAGTCCAAGACGGGTAACGGCTCGTCGACATCACTGGTCTCGGCCATGACCTTGCCCAGTACGGGCGGCTCCAATAGCAGTTCCTCGTCCCTGTCAAACGGGGACTTTCTTAAACCTGAATCTCCTAAGGATTCGGGTATGAATTGGTATGAGTACTACGAACAGGACGAGATACTGAAGCTCCGGTCACAGGCGCTCAAGAAAGAGGACGCAGATCTCCAGCTCGAGATTGAAAAACTCGAACGCGAAAGGAATTTACACATTAGGGAACTTAAACGCATCCATAATGAAGATCAGTCCCGATTCAACAATCATCGGGTACTCAACGAAAGATATTTATTATTAATATTACTGGGGAAAGGTATGTATTTTTTAAACTAACTGAAAAATAGTAGATTTATTATATGTTAATTATATGTATTATACTAATGTTTTTGTGATTTATTATCTGAYGGACAGGTGGTTTCAGCGAAGTACACAAAGCGTTTGACCTGAAAGATCAACGTTACGTCGCTTGTAAGATACATCAGCTCAATAAGGACTGGAAAGACGACAAAAAGGCCAACTACATAAAGCACGCGCTTCGAGAGTACAACATTCACAAACAGTTAGACCACCCGCGGGTCGTTCGCTTATTCGATGTTTTCGAGATCGACGCCAACTCATTCTGTACGGTACTCGAGTATTGTGATGGACACGACCTGGACTTCTATCTCAAACAACACAAGTCGATACCTGAACGGGAGGCCAGAAGTCTCATCATGCAAGTGGTTCACGCACTCAAATATCTCAATGAAATTAAACCACCAATCATTCACTATGACCTCAAGCCGGGTCAGTACATACACACYTTRATATATAAATATATCTATAATTATCTAAATAATTGTTGTTTAATATMTAATTATCTTTTTTAACAATAGGTAATATCTTATTGGGTTCGGGTACAGTTTCCGGTGAGATAAAAATTACCGATTTCGGATTAAGTAAGATAATGGACGATGAAAATTACTCGCCCGATCACGGTATGGACCTAACATCACAGGGTGCCGGTACTTACTGGTACTTACCTCCCGAGTGTTTTGTGGTCGGCAAAAATCCACCGAAAATATCATCGAAAGTAGACGTAAGTTTTAGATGCTATAGTTTSTCATTTTATTACTTTTTTTAATTTTTAATTTTACTAAACATTAGGTAAATTTGTTTTTAGTATTAATATTTATTTATTTTATATTTATAATTATTTATATAATTTTTAATTACAATAGTATAAAATATATAAATTCAGTAATATAGATTTTGTGTAAAATTTATGAAATTTAAATGGCTTGTACACTATTATTAATTTTTTAATATTATAGTATTATGTTATMTTAATTATTATAATATTATAATTAAACTAAAATTCATTCATATATATATTTTTAATTAATTCATATATCTYTTATAAATATTTATTCATTTATGATTTTTMTTTTTATGTAATTTAATATTTCCTATTTATTATTATTATTATTACATTTATATGACTTTCGTTTAATTAATTAAATTWAATTTYTAAATATTTRACTTTAGGTTTGGAGTGTAGGTGTAATTTTTTATCAGTGTCTTTATGGCAAAAAGGTATGTAATATTAATTTAATTAGAATTAAATTACTAAAAATACTTATTTGTCTCCATTTGAAACTACCAGCCCTTTGGACACAATCAATCGCAAGCGACGATCTTAGAAGAGAATACTATATTAAAAGCCACAGAAGTCGAGTTCGCCGCCAAACCAACGGTCAGTCCCGAAGCGAAAGCATTTATTAGGAAATGTCTTCAATATCGCAAAGAGGATCGCTTTGATGTGATAGCAATGGCCAACGATGAGTATCTGAAGCCAAACACCAAAAGCGGTAGAGGAATAGCCAACGCATCAGATAAAGGGTTATGAGAGGACACACTTTTATTAAACCACTTTATCGACGTTTTTTCACTTAACTCCTAATCATCTCATCAAATAAATCATAAACTCTTACCGTAATTGAAATGACAATATTTGCGAGTCATAGCGCCTCCCAACTGTTGACAGTGCGTCTGCTATCTGTGTTAACACACCATCCACCTCCCGATTCTCTACTCATCTACCAGTCCTTCAACACAACAACAACAACAAAAGAAAAATTAGGAATTTAAACATAATTACAAATATGAAAAGTGATATTTATATTATTATATTTATGTGTTTGTTTAACAAACATTTTCAAATAACAATTTCAACAAACAAATAAAACTAAAAAAGATAATTTATAACTTAATTGCTGACAATATCATTGTATAATAWAAAAACAAAGCAAACTATTTATGGGGCAAACAAACAGTGATTATATATATTATTGTTTTAAATAATAATCTTAATTATATTGATATTGTCTGTGGTTTGTTTGTGGCCCCTATTAACTGCTTAAACAAATGGACAAATCGATTGGCCTCACTGTCCGTATCACATATGGAATACGATTTAGATAAACAAACAAAAAACTGTTTTAATTATTAATTATATATATAATTATAAAAAATTTTAATTGAAAAAAATCTACAATTTCTTCTTTTATTTTGCTATTTAATTTATGACAACAAAGACGATAATATACATAAATTTAGAAGTTATTTATATTAAATATTAATAATAATAATAATAATGAAAGAGGGAATTAACATCCAATATATATCGGCCATACGTTTGAATACCCGATGATGAATGACAACAGTGCCGATAATTGTGTACAATGTTTATAAACTAATTATTTTAATTATTTTTTATTAATTATTTTCAAAAAAACGATTTGTTTATAAAACAGACAATTATTTTTCATCCGATTTATTATWATTGTAATTATTAAGTCATATTTYAATTAATATGAAACAAAAGTATGTGTGTTTTAAATGTGCTGTTAATTTTGTGACCAAAATTTACTACAACCATCACTACCATAACAACTGCTATACCGCTATTAATAACTACATCAAGAGATATACATCAAAAAAAAAAAAACAAAAAGACAGCGACAAATCAATTTATTGATTGAAATTGTGATTATTATGACAGTAATAATAGTAGTAATTATTTAAATCGAAAAATAAATAGTCTTTATTTATTAGGTTTAAAATTTTTTAATAATAATATTATGAATTATTGCTACTATTATTGCTGTTATTCATAAAAATTCTAAAACATATTGTCATTATATTTCCAAACAAATCTAATTACTGTCTCTGCTATTAAATTAAATTAATTAACTATTAGTATATTTTAAATTATATTTAAAAAAATACAAAAAAGTGTTATATATATATATATATATTGGAGACACACATAAAAACACACAAATCGATTATTATTATTATTATTATTAAAATAAATATTATAATATTGATTATTTTTTAAATTGATAATTAAAATCGATTTTTCTGTTTATATAAGTTGTTTGAATTATTTTTTTGAGTATTTTTAACTTAATAATATAATAATAATAAATAACATATTGTAGGATAACTATATGCTATATATATTTTTTTATTTACAATGCAAGCAAAAATTCATCGACAAAATTGACATTTTGTGAGAGTCATAGATATACCGTAATATTATTATTATTACAACCATTATATTGCAGTAAATTTATATATATATACTACATTGTAGTGTATAGTATACAGACAGACACTTAACACATAATTTATTATTTATAATTTGATATAATTAAACAATTATAATTATTTATTAGTTTTTTCTAAACATTAATTTTGATATTTTTTATAAAAATTATGAATTTATTTGTTTTAATATGATTTATTTTCTAAAAATAATTATCAACAAATTTTATAATTTTTATAAATGATAAACATTGGCATAATTTATAAATGATTATAATTATTTGATGTCCCTCWAAAAAATWAACAAATATATGTACATAGAGTATCGTAAATATATAAAGTATTAGATAATTTTTTWAAAATTCAAATATTTAAACATGATCATTTCAAAACATTCACTATGTATTATATATAGAGTTAAATTTTATATATATAGTAAGTTTCGAAAGTACAGTATATATATTAAAATGTTATTATACTGTAATATTGATKAAATTGTAATAAATACTGTAAAATACTAAACAGTAAATAAGTTTATTTATAATAAAATTATAAAATTGAATAATTTTTAAAGTTTTTCCTTAAAAACTATTTATTTTATTCGTTTAAGGACTTAAAATTTTTATTGAAAGTATTTTAAATTGTTTCATGAAATTATATACAAATTAAATTATTTGAATTGAAATTTGAATTYTGAACTTTAATTTATAAATGAATATTTAATTAGTATTTATTTATTATTAATTTTATAGTCTTATAAGTATTCAAATAATATTAATAATGATTGTAAATGAAATGTAACTAAAGATAATTCAATTATTTAAATTGGATTCATTATTGATTGTTTAAATTAAATATTATTTTTTWGTACTGTATAAATATAATTTTATGATTTATTTTTAAAAAATTATTTATACTGATATAATAATGCAGTATTTACATTGTATTAATTGTTTTTACACTAATAATATATGAGAAAGTTATGAAAAATAAATGATAATTTATTCATAAGTATAATTAATAAAAATTTATTTGTTTTATCATTATATATCATAATGACAATAAAATACTGTAATTAACTATTTTGTTTTTCATTCAATAGATTGCATTAATGATGATAATCTCAATACAATAATAGAGAGAGAGAAAAAAATAGTGTATTAATTAAAGTAAAAAGGTTTAAATCGAAATAATGAAAGAAAAAATTTATCATGGTTATATCATAAATATAAATTAGTCCAGCCAATCAATAGCATATAGCAACAAGCAACTATTATTATAAATAACCAATAATTATTTGTAAATATATTTTAGCAAAATTAGCAAATATTTTTGTGGCTTACATTTCACGTGCATTTTATTTTGTATCTCTATGTTAATAATCACACGACAATACTCGGGGTTGTATTGGTTATGTAATCATTTTTATACTGATAACAGTCAAAAACATAAATGGTATACCTGTGCCAAGTGCACTGGTACATAGGTGGTAAWACTATTTTTAAACAAATWAAATAAATAATAATAACAGTGCTTTGAAATATTTTTTTATTATTTTATTAAATATCAGTACAATATCATATAATTAACTAATTTCTAAAATGTCAATATATTTTTTGTTGTAAACAACTTTTTATTTTATGGTATCCATTATCGCTATGTTTCAAAATTCAAAATGATTATTATGATTACTATTATTAAATAATAATAAATCTGGAAAAATAATATTAAGTCTAATAACTTATTAGTTATATAAGATATAWATATAAATAAAATATTTTTATAATACAAATTCAAAAGTGTCTGATACCTGGGTAAACAGTCTAACTGTATAAACATTATTAACAGATTATATTTTATATTGATTTATTAGCTTATAGTATTTTGACATTTAATTATACTTATAGTAATGTACAGTATTAGAGTGATTGTGATAACATGAGGAGAGATTAATTAATTAAATAATTTTTCAATGAGTTTATTTTGTTTTTCAATATCAATTATTTTTTATATATATATATTGTTTTAAAAATATATTTATATAATATATTTTCTAATAATAATATTTTTAAAAATTGTGATTACTTTATTTTTTCAACGAAAATATTTAGTAATTCCTGATTTCTAACAAATAATATTAATTTATWATAAACTTGTTTATTAGATAATAAATATAAATTGTTTCCGTATAAATATTTTATTAAATAACTATAATWTTGATATATTAAAAACAAATTTACATATATTTGATTTGAAATTTAGATGACAGTATATTATAGAATATTTAATTAAATTTATCAATAGATAGTTTAATGCTATTTTAAGTTTGCTTAGAAAATATCATAAACAGTAAAAACTGTAGTTTACATTGCTAAGTTACATTATTAATTATCTCGTATTTAATTACAAAAATAAAAATATAAAAAAATAAAAATAATGTAACTTGAAATTAAATATTTAATAGATGATTATAAACATTTATATRTATATATATTTTATTTATTTGTGTCTGTATTTTATACTCTATTAGAATATTATCACAATTACAATATTCTGTTAAACTTGACCTTGGTGATTATTTTGTTATGTAATCTTTTATAATTAAATAGCATTATAAAATATCAAATATAACCTGTTTAAATATAATTACTATAAAAATTATCATATTTCATTTTTTTAGTAAAGTCGTATTTTAATATTTACAACATTAGTTTTTTATTACCAAATGATAATGAATTATATTRTTTACAATATTTCAGTTTAACACCAAAATTCAAGTATTAAAAAATTAATAAAATAAAAATAGTTATATTATATTAATTTATTATATTATCGCTGTTTTGATCAAAACGCGACACTTCATAAAAAACGCAATATTATTCAAAACTAAAAAATAATAAATAATTGCATATTAAACATATTTTTGTTAATATATACAATAAAACACTATTGTATTTATTGACATTGGTAATTTTCCAAATAATAAACTAAATATTTATATAAATTGATATATTAATATCACATGGGATTTTTTAATTGTTTAAAAGTTCACTTAAAAACAAAATATAATATAATAAAAATTTAATAACTACTAAAGTAGTTAAACTTACCTGGATATCAATTATGTTATTATTTTTATTGTAACGATTGATATTAACTTTAAAAATCTTAATTAATTAAAAAATAAAATTGTGAAAAGTTGTGAAAAAAAAGTTGTGATCAACAAAGTAAGCAAAACTTACATTAATATAAAAAATTCAATATTATTTTTATTGAAAGTTATCGATAAAAATCAATATACAATATCACAGTTGAGAAAAATAAAATTAACATTTAAATATAATAATAATTAAGTTTATATTTTTTTAAATATAAAATACTCAAAAGCTATGATAACATATGAAATAATTTATGCTTTATGTGTATGAAATGATTAATTATTATAAAATTTTTAATATTAATATATAATATTTTTTAAATAAATACATAACTTATAGCATGCATTAATTATTATTTAATAGAAAATATAACTAAAATCTACATTGATAAAACAAATAAGGAATAATAGTAATAATAATAAGTGTTATAATAATAATATTAGCATTAATACTGTAATAGAGAAATATTTAACATTTAATAGAATTTTAAAAAACAACAAAATTTTTTACATATCAAAAAATTGTTAACAAATATATTAATAATTATTGATTAGCAAAAATTTTGTTGTATTATTATTATTGTGTGAATTATGTGAATACCATCCCATTGTAGATAAAACAAGTTTTATCTGCCGGGACTGTGCTCGTATTGGGCAGCTAATAGACCCAGATACTTTTTGGCCTCCTCGGCTGCTGAATGATCCCGGTGCTTCCATATAAATACACGCGCTATATATATATTAAGAATATATTGTAAAATATGAGAATAAGTTATTTGTTAATCAATTGATTACAGGTAATTATCTGATGATTTTATAATAAATAATTATGCACTTTATATAAACTCTACAAGGATAATTCACATACTTTAGACTATATATTATGTTTTTATCACCAATGGAGAGATCATTTAAGTGCCTATAATTGTTATATACTTAATATCTAAGTAACTAATGTACTATACCTTTCAGTGTTTARTAKAAATTTTAATTATTATTAAATATTTAATAGATAAATCTAAAATCTAAAATATATATATATAATAGTTTTATATGACTAAAAGCAAATTGATTAAATAAAACTCACAACGTTTGGTCTTTTTGGGAATCGTACGATACTCTGCAGTATTGAAATGGTGTCTACCGTATGGCCCAAACAGTGGGTGAATCTTATTACGATCGGCGCCCCCGGACTCGTCACTAGTATCGTATAGGCCGTAACCGATCGATGCACTGGTTATGCAATGAATGGCYACCAATACTAGCAAAACAATTGACTGTAGTTTGATGTTCATTGTTGTTGTTTAAGTCGCTRTAAATCTTTTTATAATAGTTTATTTAACTTGAATTATATTATGATTGTTGTTAAAAATGCTGTGTGGCTATAGATGAGCCAACTATACCAAKTGCCAGTACGATAAATGACAAAACAAAACGATCTAGGTGATTGATCTATGTTTACTGTTATAGTTATTGTTGTACATTCACTAAACTATAAAAAATTTATATATAAAAAGGTAACTTTGATACCCGATGTATTCAATCAAATACCAAAGTTATATAACACATAAGCATTTGAAGAGCACTGATATTTATAGCTATGAGAGCACTACACATTCACTCAGCACTGGTAGGGTTACGGTTCCGTTGTCATCGACACAAACACTACATTTAAGATTATGTAGTTATTATATACACACACACACTCTTTACTTTCCAATGCATTGTTTTTGTGGAGAGAGAGAGAGAGAGAGAGAGAGAGAGAGAGAGAGAGAGAGAGAGAGAGAGATACTATAATACAACACTTCATATGAATGGTATTTCTATATCACAAATAAAAATAATATTGAAAAATAAGACTTTACTCCTATTAATAATTATTTACTTAGAGGTGGGCTTTCAATACGAGTTACATATTAGGTGTGAAACACAATTATGTTTAGTTTTTTTTAATGATTTGCGGTTTGGTTTTCCATTAAATGATTTTTGATTTACGTTTGGAAATTCATATTTAATTTGAATATTGATTAGGATTACAACAACAAATATATTTTATAAACTAACTTTAAACTGTATTTAAWYAAATGATAATTATTCAATATTGTAATTTCATATTCATTATTTAAAATCATTAATGTCATATTTATTATTGATTTATACATTAATACAAACAATATTATATAAATCATGAAATAAATTTTATGTAATAATTTCATATAAATAACTTAACAGCATAAAAACACATAATGTTAATCGTTTAAAAACTAAAAATAACATTTTAAATAATAAAYTTTTATTGATAATTCATAAACTATTAATATAATGAAAAGAAAATTAATTAAAAAATAATTTTATTAACATTTTTTGTAAATATAAATTAGATTATAAATATAAATTAAATTATAATTATAATTATGTATATTAAAAATTAATTTTAATTACAATTAATTGTTYTAAGCAATTAATTTTGTCTATTTTATTWGATAMATGAATTTTTTCTATATATCTAATAATTATATTTAGTAAATATTTTAGTTATTTTATTTATATATTGCTATATCAAAAATTATTTTTTTATATTAATTAAAACATAAACCAAACAACCAGTTAAACACATCTAATTTTTATTAAAGACATACCGGTATAGTTAATACTAACGTAAATGCCTTTTTTAGTTGAAAAAAAAAAAAACAAAATTGTTATTATAARTGATTTCATTACCTGATTGCAAAAATATTTGATCTTTACTATCTGTTTAAACAGTACTGTAATTTTCTTGTACGATATATTCTTAAGCATTATCTACAATACCTGTCCAGTAAAGCACTCATAGGTTAAGTGCTGTACAACAAAAAAACTATATTTCATACAATACTGATAAATTATGTACTCATATAGTACTAAAATCTTAAACATGCAATCATATGTATCATAATAAAACAATGTATAGATATTGTAAAAATGATTATTTAGTTTTATTTTATAATGAAAAACGTGTTACTTATTTTTTATTATGTATTATATATTTTTTCCTATTGTAGACAAACCACTGGAGTCAAGTGTCTATACCTTATGTGTTAATTTWTTAAATAGAAATAATGACAAATATAAAAAATTCAATGAATTTCTATTTATAWAATATTTTATATCAATAAATTGCACAAATGTTTTGACGCCTTTTTCTAAATAAATTAACAACTATTTAACAAAATCATAATACAAATTGACTATWCAAAGCATTAAAAAAATTATATAACTATAATTATAATCAATTTAAATAAAAAATAGGATATTAAAACTACAGTATTTTTATATGTATATCCTTAAAATAAAAACATTATTTTTTWAAATAATATCCTAAATAAAAATGTTTATTTTTTTAATTATGCGAAACAATGATTTGAATGACATCACTAACACTATTATAATAATATCACAATTTCTATTAATAAAATAAATTATATATATGTTAACAAATTTAGCTATTTTGTATTAAAATTGTATTTATTTTATTTTCATTATAAATAATTTACATATTTTATGGCTATTATTTATCATAGTTTACAATATATTATGCAATAAATTTAGTATTAACTTATGAATTAATTTTAAACTTATKAATTAAAAATACTTTTAATCTCTTTTAATTAAAAAATTCTAAAGTTTCACATTTTTTAATTATCAAATAATATTTAACTAATATGTAATTTTTAGGCACTTTATTGTCACGTTTTTAGCTATCATTGTTAATCTATAGTGTTAAACMCATTACCCACCAACGTATGTGATATATTGTACTATAAATTAGTATACTGTAAGTGTTTATTCATTCAAGTTATATGATATAACATAGCTTATAGTGCTTTAGTTACCTTTTATTATATTAATTAATAAATAAATCTTTTTTACGTAATATCGATAATAATGACTTAAGTATTTATCTCGATATGAAGGCACAGAAATTATCATTTAAAAAATATAATTTTATAATATAAAATGTTAAGGACAATACACACACTGCAATATCTTAATAGCAATTACAAATCTGAAATTTTATGATCTACTAAAATAATAAAAACATTATTACATTGCTAAAACATAATTAACATTTTATTRGCTTTTACAGTTTGTGCAAACAATAATWTATACATATAAATATGTATATATAAAAATGTATATAWATATATATATATAGATATATCTTAGTATATACCTTGATATTATAATACTGTATGTAATTAATTATTAAAATTTTGTGTATCCATGAAATATCCACTGAATAAGATCCTATTGAATAGGAAATAAATTAATCATTTGTAACTCTTATAATAACTATTATTGCATTGTTTACTTAAGCCAAAGTTTGTTTGTTTATCAACGGATAGTTAAAATAAGTTAATTAAAAAAAATAAAATCTATTACACGTGAGATAAATCCCMTTTTAATTATATTAAGAGTACGGTTGCAATAAAAACATAAAACAATTAAGTCAAATACCTGTACATATCTGTGTTATTTTATTATCATTTTTGTTTTGTAATCATTGTTGTTATTGTTGTATTATATTCCGGTTGATAGTCATCTTTGATACACATTTTTTAAACATGATTAGTAAACTAAACTATGATATAGTTTTACAAAATTGTTTTTATTTTTATTTGGAGTACTTATTTGAAAAGTACACAATCAATACATGCAATACACCAGTTAGTTATAAGTACTTTTAATTTATGATTAAATATATAAATAAATGGCATATTTTGTTGTAATGATTTTGAATTATAACTAAATGAATTGATAAAAAGTACATTATTTTTTAATACTGTTTAGTATTTACTAATATCATAGTTATTYTATATAAAATCTATAATATTGATAATCTTATTTATTGATTGTCGCACTTTGTAATGTCAAGTATGAGATTATTATTTTTTCAACTTTTAATATTTGATTAATATAAAATTATAAATTATTTAACAAATTTGTAAACAAACTGTTGCACTGATTAAACATAAGTACAAMGAAAATAAGTTTTTTTTGTTGAAAAATAATATCTAATATTATATATCAATTTAATGGTCTCGTGAATACATATTTTTATTAATTTTTAATAACAAAAATATTAATATTTCAGTAACATTACACTAATTGTTTTTTATAATACATKTACTCTATTTTGTAAATTACTTTTAAATAAAATATTAAGTTTTATTTGTGTTAAATGAATGAATGAATAAATGATAAATATTAAAATAATTAAAAAATAATTTAAAAAACATTTTGTAAATTKCATAAATATTAGGATTTTTAAAAATTATAATCATTAATAAATAACAATAAGTTACTATTGTCGTTATTAATATTATGTATTATGTATGTTATTAATATATTATTTTTAAAATTTTAATATTATGTAAAGTTTTTTTTATAAAAAAGACAACAATTCTAATAGAAAACAATAATTATATCATTTTTTTGTATAATATTTATTCGTTATTTTAATAAACTTTAATACTGTATATAGTTATTCATACATTTAATATTATTTAGTAATAATTTCAGCTAATATGTTAAAAAATACTTAATGACTGACATRTTTGATAGTTATTATTAACTTAAAAAAACATAATACTATAGTTTAAATAAGTTTCTAATAAATAAAAAAGTTTTAGTAAAATAAAATAAAGTAGCTGTTGATCATTTTGTTTGTGATAACTATATGACTCAATAATGACTACAATTGATAAAACCAATACTAATAGTGGCCATATGGGCACTGGTAGTCCTAAGCAATGCAAAAAAKTAGAAGCAGTATTACCACCATTGCGTGAACCGGGAAGTCATCCATCGATGCCAATCAACTATTTAGATATTGAACTAAACGATGAATTYACGACAAACTCTTGTTCACCGCATTTAACATACATAACATTCACGGCTTATACCGACGACAGATGGGTAGTTGCCGTTAAATACTTAATGAAAGAGCATTGGATGGTTGTGGAGATGACGTCTATAATATGGAAATACATATATTATCCAAATATATGCCATAACGGTCCAAACGTATGGCAAGTATTGGCTAAACATATGACTGAGATTGGGATCAAACAGATCCAGACGGCCGACGATTGTCTTAACATATTTCRAAACTCTTTACAACTYTATGCTAAAGTATATCATATTTTTGGGGTTATTATTAACTAATAATATTAATTAGTAATATCTAATTTGATTAAACATTTTAGGCATTAACTTGTTGTCCAAATTCAAACATAGCATCGGTAGTGAATCCACTTTTCCCATCAATGCATACATTGATCCGAAAATTGGGTCCTTTTATACTTGATTGGCTTGAATTGAATACATTAATCAAATTGTTTGATGATTTAATTGTTGATCCAATTGATGACAAACCTATGACTATTGGTAACAGTGATTATGTCGCTGATGGTGGTGTGATAGCTGTTCATATAGCTTCTGCAACTGATAAACTCATCAACTATTTGGAAGTGGATATAAACGATACATATAAGCGAAACATTAGCTATTTATATCTGCCGTATAAAACACAATATGTCGACTCTGGAG